GTGTGTAAGAAATAAGCACCCAAAGTGCAATCTGTAGATTAAATCGCATTTAGCTGCACTTGTTTTGTTCTGTCCATTTCTTTTCATTCACGGTAAACCTTCTTCAGGGTATCGAATACAAGGAGGCCAATGTTGGGCATGTCAAGAGTAAACAGCTCTCAGAATCTTATTTTCTTTTTAAAAAGGGGAACCATGGGAACAGCACACGGTTATCGATATATTCACATACACGTGTAGCTGCATGTGCTGCACTTATGTGTTTGTTTTTGTTCGTCAGTGGAGCTGCATATGCATGCCATTTACCCAGATGGGTCACAGAATAAAAAAAATGCACAGGATGTGAATCTCATTAAATCAGTTTACACATGCAGTGATTGACAATTGAGCTGCTCTCAAACAAGTACAGTGTTCAGCAGGGAAACTGTTGTTCTCTCATCCATGACTATAAAAAATACAGAGAGGAAGAACAAAATCACCGCTGCTAAAAAATCAAAAATGCATTATCTTTTTAGTAAGATTTTCCGATTATTTCCAAATATGTCAGCGTGTTGGGATGACTTTAACAGATTGTGACCAGACAGTGTTTGATTTGTTGGATAAAGGCAGAGTCCCAGCTGAGCACTGTGTTTGTGTGTGTGTGTGTGTGTGTGTGTGTGTGTGTGTGTGTGTGTGTGTGTGTGTGTGTGTGTGTGTGTGTGTGTGTGTGTGTGTGTATGTCTGTGTGCACTCACAGTGACTCACAGCTTGCAGGAAAATAGAGAAAAATGAGAGTGAACAGACACGGTCGGAGTGTAGAAAGAGAGAAAAAGAAAGAGTGTGTCTTTATTTCTTGTCAGTAATATGAAAACCTTCCAATATTTGAAAGTTGTTATTTTTGGCATAATAAACTGCGCTGAAGCTGATACTCCCCATAGAGTTGCACACATGTCACCTCAAAACAGAACAAAATAGGCCATTTCCCCTGAAAAAGACTTGTTCCAAAAGCAGTTGTAAGATGTGAAGCAGGAGGAGGGAGCAGGGCTCCCAGGTGTATAACACTTACCGGAGATAACAAGACGAGGAAGAGGAGGGGGCTGCAGTGCACATGCAGGCAGCAGACTCATCGCTCTAAATACTCCTTGTGTCAAATGGTTAGAATCACCTGCAGGCCGCCATGTTGAATGTCCCTGGAGAGCGTTTGGAGAGCGGGTCACTACTCGGTGTGCTGAGAGGATTGTTTTTGCAGAAGAAGAAAAAGAGACGGAGGACAGTGGGGGGGGATTCCCGGGTAGTTCAAGGTTAAAGCAGCAGTCTCACACAATGTGACAGGACTACATGCAGAGAAAGGGCTTGTGCGCTGCTGAGAAAGTTGTGAGTGTGGCCTTTGTATTTAAATTAATATGGCAGTTTCCTTATGTCATTCAACTTTATGATTTTATCAAGCCTTTTTTTCTGTCAAAGGGAAATTACGCTTACCGAGACACCGTTAGAGACACCATTAATCTCAATAATTCAAAGGCCTTTATTAAGGGTTTAAAAATAGTTTTTAGTCCCTATGGGATGATAAAAGGCCACCACCATGAAACTGTAACAGAGGAACTATCTATTGTGTTTATCAAAGGCTCTTAGCTCTCAGTTAGCTGTTCTCTGTGGCGATGCAATATGTTTTATCTCCAACTTTTGTGGCCCATCGAGAAGCTCATATGCTGAGGAGGTGCTAGCAGGGGATGATGTTTCCGTTACTTCAGTCAGAACTCTTCCCTTATTGCCTCAGGTATGCTGCGACTCAGCGATCATCTAAAAGAGACTCCTTTTCCAGGAGGCTTTTGAAAGCATAAACACCGGTAGGCAGAAATCAGACACAAACACTCCATTATGTTCACAGGATGGATGACATTTTAACTTTTCAATACCATCAGAATGATTTGCATATAGAATACACTCCACTTTTTAAGAACAACCCTATTGTGTGTTCTTCGGTGGGTCACGACATGTCGTTTTCCATGATAACCATATGTGTCCACAAATGTCAACTTTAACCAAATAGTAGACTTTTACATTTTTCAGTTTTTAATAAATCACAATGTGAAGGCTCCTTATTCTCAGAATCAGTCTTTGAGGTTTGACTTTAGAATTAAAGGAATGTGCTTGTGAGTTAGTTCATAAGAGGAATTTAACTTAAAGGCCAACTTTCATGTTTTTTTTTCTACATTTATGCTTAAACTTGCTTGAAAATTACAATTAAAAAAGTGAATGCAGGATTTGATATGTTTTACGACTCGAGACATAAGGGCAGGAATCAGAGGGAAAGGAGGCGCATTTTGAGCTCTGCTTCTTAAGAAACGGCCTTTTTTTAAGGTCATACGTCAAACGGGCGTCATATTTCACACTCACAAAGGGGAGCACATCTCGCACTCTCTGAACCGCGGCAGGAGCCGAGAACGTGTACGTCAGTTGCGTCTGAGGCAGATATGTGTTGAGCAGTGTGTTTTAGTGAGGGCTGGTATTTTCAGTAGTATTTACATTGTATTTCACCATTGTGTAAATCATGGTGCAGGTGCAGCACAAATACCAAGGCAGCGCTGTCAAGCACCGTATACATCTCCTTCCCCCATCCCCTGTAGATACATTAACGGTGCTTATGACTAGTTGTAAGTAAAGAACTTACATGTATTACTTGTACTAGCCAACTATAAAGCAAACTAATAATTTAAACATGATCTTAAAAATGCCAAAAAGTATTTGAAACTGTGTGTGTATTAAACTGATGGGAGGAAGGGGGCCGGAAGAGAAGGAAGTCTATGCAAAAATGTGTGTGTGTGTGGCAGGCTGCAAGATGACAAGACTCAACTTGTTATTCGGAGGGCAGTTCGTCGCAGACACGCCAAATGTGTCTGCTTGCCTCAAACATTAAGAGACTCTTGTTTCCGGGTGCGCCTCGGGCTGGCTCGCGGCGATTCGCTGCGACAGTCCATCGTTTTTCTGTATCGTCCCAATAGATGAACCGCCTCCATGGGAAGGAGTCATGCCGACAACAAACCCTCGCCGGTTTGAAATTAATGTATCCCTGTTTTGTCCCGTTGTCCGGTCCCCTCTTTGTGTCTCATGCTGGGCACTGTGGCCAAGAATATGTAAGATCTACCGCAATAGACCAGAGCAGGGGTACTCTTTCAAAATTGTATCCGTTGTTTTTTAGCCGCATTAAACAGATTATTTCGTTTTATCTCCTTGTAATTCCTGGTGCTTCGAATTCCCTTCCTTTTTAATAATTTAAGCACCAGCTCATCAAGCGGACGCCGCGGAGGCCGAGTTGGGCCTTCAGACCACCGCCTCCAGCGCTCCACAACATAAGTGGCCTGCCTGCTGCCTGTAGCACCACCTGGATACATGTTCTACCAGGATAAGAGTGAGCAAGATGGGTGAGTCTCAATTTGCGAGTCTCGTTTCTGTGACTTCTGCTCTCCCTGTCAGACTTTCAGTTTGCGGCGATACTAAAAGAGAGCACGCTAAGCCATCGGACGCAAACAAATGGTGTAGCTGTAAATTAAAGTCTGAGGGAAACAGTCCCCTGAGTAAATCTGATTTTTGTCAGAAATCGGAGAAAACTGGCGGGAGCCAATATGATCCCGGGAAGGAAACCGGCGTTAGAGGGCATGAAA